AGATAACTGCCTTGTCGTTCGACCTACGTAAGTCGCACCACAGATGCACTTGAATTGGTAAACAATCATAGATGAGGTCAACATAGGCAGTTTATCTTTGTTGTACGTTTGTTGACGTAGAGAACACACATGTTAGCTGTGCGGCATTGAATGTAGATTTTACTGCTGAGGATAAAACTACTGGCTCTCTCAGTGGTGGCATCACTTTTGAATGGAAGTTTTATAAAAAGCCTTTTCTTCTCCGCTTTTGGCAATTTTGTTGGCTTATTCCGTTCAGTCCAATTACGGTCGATAATCTTCTCAAGATAGCCATTTTCTAGAAAGGTTCTCCTCACCAGCTCAAGTTCGTCCTTCAAAGTATCTTCTGAACAGATGCGCCTTGCTCTCTGCAGTAGACTGCGTATGAGGTTGCGTTTTTAATAGAGTGGGACGAAGCTATGAAAATTTGTGTACTGTCCACTCTATGTTGCTTTGTGATATATCTTTCTTTGGATGGAGCCGTCGGGGCGTCTAGTCAGACGAACATCCAAAAACGGAAGGCAATCGTTCTCCTCTGGTTCAGTTGTGAACTTAATTGACGAATGTGCATCGTTGAATTCTGACTCGACTTGGGCAAGATTAGTGTTCTTGTTAGCCACACGAAAGATTTCTACATAACGGTGATATTGTTCAAAAGAACTAGTAGCCGTAGATAAGAAAGTTATCTCTAAGTTGGCCATGAAGATGTCGGCGAGAACAGGTCCGAGGGGTGGACCCATAGCAAAACCATCGACTTGGAGTAGAAAGTGTTATTAAACAAAAATTGTACATTTCGTGTGCATTTGAGTATGAGTTCTTTGAGAGTTGTAACAGGAATCCCCACGGATATCGTTTCTGTGTTCATAAATTCACACATGAAATCAATCATTTCTAACAGGGGAACATTTGTAAAGAAAGAAACAAGATCCAAAGAGAACATCAGTCGGTTGTTAATATTAGCATTTTTGGTTATTTCAACAAACTGAAAAGTATCTCTAAGTGTACGCTTGGCGACACGTTGACGTATGGGTTTCAAAATTCTAGCTAACCCGCGGGCAGTTGCGTGCTGAGGTGAATTTATCATAGAGATAATGGGACGCATTGGTATGCCAGATTTGTGTATTTTGGGTAGACCACATAGGCGGGGCACGTTAGAGCCAACGGGTTTGAGGTCTTCAAACAAACAGGATGATATATAGCCTTGATATCTGAGTCGTTTCAATGTATCGGTAATTTGCTTTTCAGCTTTCCCCGTTTGAACCTTTTGAATTAGATCGCATGAAAACTTTGTTTGATCGGATAGAAGTTGCAGCATTTTGGATACGTAATCGGCACGATCCATAACCACAATGTCAGTCCCTTTGTCAGGTTTGCTTAACAGAACTTCAGGGTTCCGTTGTATGTCTTTTAGGGTGTCAATGTGCTTTTACGTCAGGAGTCCCTTGTTACGAATTCAGTAACGTCGGTATTGGTAGGAAGCTGTAACCAGTGACGATTTAAAACGTGCTAGATCTTCCGAAGAAATTGGTATGAGATCAGTTGTTTGCCCGACTAAGTTTTCAAATGGCACTTCTCTCAAACTGCCCTGGCCAGGGGAAGAGAAAATCGCTTGTTCACACGACCATGACGTAACATCATAACGTAACCACTTTGGTTATGTGATCCAAACTGCGCACAAATTTTGAGTTCTTTTGGGCTCATTGCCAAACACATGACTCATCCACCTTCCCGTTTGACCGTAATGAAATTGTCTCATATAAATCGGATTGTAAAGGCTTGAAAAGAAATTCACCGAAAACATGTCCGCCTACACTGTGTTTCTTATCAATGGGCATATTCCGTGACAAGGTTAGTTGTTCAAATAGTTGTTTGGTAGATTTGAAGTTTATGTCGATTGTGAAAAGTTCAGTAACCACTGGTGGATGCCATATCCCTCTGTAAGTTGGATGGGTAAATTCGAATGTGTAAAGATCAGTGTTATCGGTGTGGCCTAATAGCTCAGCTGGTAGAGCGCGCGCGTACAATTCGTAGGCGGCGTCCATGCCTGGATTCGAATTCCACCGAGGCTACTGAACTTTTCACAATTGACATACAAACTTCAAATCTGCCAAACAACTATTTGTTCAGCATCACTCTTTATGTATATACAGAACATCCTTAGTGAGCGGAATTCATTCGTTCTACTGTAATTTGTGTTCATCGTGTGGTAAAAATATTAGGGATAAACAATTCATGGCTGTTACGGATAGGGTAAGCACAGTTTTTAATTATCACCCACTGGAATGTTCCCGCTGCTCTTTCTTTACTCTTACCTACCCCATTCATTCGTTCTCTCACCGTTTCATTTTTTTTCATTGACAGCAATTGCAAGGTGCTTCGTTCCCGATCGCTTCATCCACCTTATGTACTGTGCCTTATACACAAACTCACTATCCTCGTTCAGACCCTCACAAAGCACATTCGGTCAGTCTAGGCGGTCCCATAACAAACGGCCTGGATAAAACTAACGTGGGTCAAGACAATCCGGTTTCGGCTCCTGTCCAATTCCCGTCTGATCCACACCCATCCGGTCATTCTCTTCCGCATAGTCATCATGAACTGGACACTGATGCTGATTCCTCGGCATTCACCGACCTCAGTCAGGTTTCGTCTGCTTCACGCAATGGTCATCGACATACTGACCGAACGTCCTCTTCCTCTGCCCATCAACAATCTCCACCTTATTCTCTGGATTTATCCCAACTGTCTGGTAAGCTCATGATGTCTGATTTTGTTATATAGATTATTGTACCGTGATTGGTTTGACTAAAACAAATGTAAAATGTAATCAGATGTGAATAACAGGTTATCTCAATGTAAGTCATCTTTGGTAATGACATTCCTTCAGATCATTAGGCCTCGCTAGTTGGTACATTTCGTGTGTATACTCACCAGTAGTCTATCGCACCACGCCTTATTTGCAGTTGCGGGGTTGGACACAAGCACAATTAGCTCGGGAATTATTTGTAGTTTGTGTACGCATTGGGGTATGCAGAGCTCGATTGCGTACTCTGCGTTGACCACAGAGGTTCACCTTCGTTCCCGTCCCTCAAAATAGATCCAATCCTGGTCCACCTTAAATTTTACCATTAATCTTCTATGCAATGCGAATATGGCAGCGATGAGTGAAGCTCGCCTCACTGTATTTTGCTGTATGATGATGATGATTACGATTAGCTCAACAGATAACGTGAACACGGGGTATGAAGATATGTATAGAAAGACAGAGTGGAGTACGTGTCCTTCGTTTCACAGGCTGGTGTCCAAAGGACTAACTGGTTGATTAAAGGCGTTGAACGCCGCGAACGGAAAGCAGTAGCGTTCTTGACATATTTCTCAGGTCAAAGTACTTCATGAGATGTGTATGCATAATTTCGTTGTGTAGTCCATATTGAATTTATTAGCTGTGCATTCGGTTCTCCTCTGTAACAGTAAATCCACTTCCAGTCCACTTTATGCATTCCAATTTACTACGTCTATACATTGCCAGGCCTTACTTAACGGGGCCACTAGAAGTCCCGGGGGTTAGGTTGCCAGTTTCTATCTCCGGACAGCAAGCCTTCACGACTAAGGGGTACACCCCGTTCATCGCTCAAAATCTGTGATAAGAAAGTATGGTGTGAGCCTGGCAGCAATCAGTGAAATCGAATTTGCTGTTTCATTGTACGTGGATGATGTTGGTGATTAGCGTTACTGGAACAAAAACCGAAGTTTCTGCTTGTTCCATCCATTGTCTGTGTATGATGTAAATGATGTAAATGATGTAAATGTAAATGACTTTGTTCCTTGTTCAGGCTTTCTCATCTTTCAACTACGTACTGTTGGGTCGGGCGATAGTGAAGTCGTCCACTATAAAGGTCATCACCACGAAACTGCACCTAGACACGGTGTTATGGTTTGCCTACCTCCATGGCCCTGCGAGCTACACAGGATGGCTTCTCACAGCCGCAGATCCAATCATGTCTGAAAGGTCAACAGAGATAGAGGTCAGGCGAAGATCAGTCTCACAAGGTCAGCTGTTTGGCATATCCAAGCTTCCTTTGACCATCCACTGTCGCCCCTGGAGTGGCCACTCCAGCAAATAAACACAGCAACAGGGAATTTACTGTCAAAACCCCTCTTTAAATAGACTTTGAAGCGTGGTACCTGGGGCGTCCTGACGGTGGGAAAAGTCCTTGCGCTTCACTGGACAGCTGCTCGTCCAAGCTGAGTAGCTCCCAGCTAATAAGGCGCTGTCTTGTCCATATTCCGCCTGTTTGATTGGGTGTATGAGGCTAAAAACCGGTCCCATGTCGTCAATCAACGCACCAATGAACAAACTGAACCGAAACCCAGAGTACACGTGTGACAGGTCTCCCGCACAGGCGCTTCGTCACGCTCCAGCGTTTGATCTGCTCTCCACTACCTTATGGGTCAGACTTGAGTTGAAGGCTCCGGTTAGGGTTTCCAAAAAAGGGCCACACATGAACGGTGAATACGTAAAATGCAGGCTGATTTTGAACCTGGCAGAGGTTGTATAGGCTACATCTTTACTCTGAGTCAAAGTATAGAACACAGACACTCCTTTCGCAGACCCACCATTTCTACCCTCCTCAATCTGAAAGCGGTTTTCGACTCAGTCAACTACTCTATACTCGTGCTACCTCTCTCTGGAGCGTGTGCCGAGGAGTTGATTTCAATATTCCGATTCCTTTATGCCAATATCCGAAGCAGAGTCCGAGCTTGTGTCATCGTTTCGCCCGAGTTCATGGAGAGTGGTGTTCGTCAGGCTTGCCCTCCCCGTTCCTGTTTAACTTTGTCACAGATGTAATTCTTGAAACAGCATTGTCCTCGTGCGCGAAAGCGGTATCGATTTGCTCCTAGTTGACCTTATCTATTCTGGAGTATGAAGGCGACATTGTGCTGCTAAGTTGCAAACTTCTCTGGGTAGTTGAAGTGCTTGTGTATCTATGTTTGGTATGCGTTTGACACCTACAAATTGTCAAATTTTGCTGCAAAAGTGGGTTAGTCCAGCACCCAAACTCACTCTAATTGGACAGAGCAATTTTGATATTTAAGCAGCTATATTTCACCTGGTGAACGCGTCACAGATGAAGTGTCGGCACGCATACTAAGAACTCGGTTGGCGTTATCCAATATGAAACATATGTGGCGCCGTCGTGATATCCGGCCGCCCGTGATGAGTCTAATGCATGTTTTATCATTACGTACCTAAGTATAATGATCCCTATAGTCACGAGGACCTGCTGTTCAGTGATGGTAACCGGTGGATAAAGGCGCTCAGTGATATAACTGTGTCACAAACGGTGACTCGTGCATCTGCTCAATGTCATTGCAACCCGTCTATATTAATTCTCTCTGCTGTTAGACTCTGGTTTCGATATTCCAATCTTCATTCAGCTCTTCCTTCAAATAGGCAATCTAAAGATAGCAGGCAAAACCGGCGCACGAAATTGCATGATTGATGGTTGTAAAAATTAAATTTTAAACTCAAACTACTATAAAGACGATGTCCAACCGACCATATTCTACGTAATTCATTTGCAAACCTGTTGAGATGATGTCTTTTCCTGCCCCGGCACCGCGAAACTAACCAAATAAAATCGGAAAATTGATTAAATTGTGTTCCACACGATTGTATATTTGGCCCGCTATAAGTATCGTGTTTTTTCATTTTTCTTCTCTTCGCACCCATTTTCAGTTTTTACCATTGTTAACCAGCTGATCAATGTATTGTTTCTCTTTCTTGTTTTCACCCGTCAGTACCCCATCGCTCAGATTCTGCCTATTCCAGTCGTCAAACCCGGACCACTCAACCTCCACAGTCGCTTAGTCTGTTTACAGCAGCATCTCAAGGCCGTGGTGAAGCGGGGATGAAAAAGCCAGTTCTCACCACGGCAAGTCCTGTGGAGACAGGTCAGTTATATTAACTCTGTAGGTACACTGGCTGAGATGTGTTACACAGACTACCTTGTAGGCTTCCTCAGAACGCAGTCTGCCGAGGCAGGTGGTGGCTGGAACAAATTCCAGCGTAGTCCAACTAAGACCTTTGATGAAAAATGGAAAACATTGATCAAGAGACTCAGTTGTAAACAGTGAAGCTCGTGCGTCTACTCGACTTTGTCATAAGTTTAGTTTGCCTGAATTCTTTATTGTCACGTTCCTGTGCTGAGGCCTCTAGTTCTTCCGTTTACTCGATCCCTGTTCGACCGACTGGGAAGCCTAACGATAAACAGCATTGCTATATGAAAATACGGTGGTAATGGCTATAAACTATACTGTCCTGAACTAAATAATCTGTGGTGGAAATTAACCTTGAGATTAGCGGGAGTTATCTTTCTTGTTTCTAGTGGTCCGTACGCATGGATTACACATGTTCTGCGATGTACTTTTGAAACCGTATTCTTGTGATAGATGGTTTTATTTTCTGCAAGTCCTGTGGAGACAGATCCCAATCGGATAGCTGAACTCAATAGACGGAATCGTTTGCAACCAATGCATTTACGTACCAGTTATCCGGTGGAGACTCAGACCGCTAATCCGGAGAAGGTCGCAGTAGCCTTACGACAGTTGAGTTCCNCTGCGATGTACTTTTGAAACCGTATTCTTGTGATAGATGGTTTTATTTTCTTTATCCCTCTTTGCGATAGATCCCAATCGGATAGCTGAACTCAATAGACGGAATCGTTTGCAACCAATGCATTTACGTACCAGTTATCCGGTGGAGACTCAGGTGAGTTGTAGTTGTACGGCTTTATTTCTGACTCATCTGAATTTTCCTTATATAAAATCATCACCGTTCCCACTGTGAATACCATCAAGACTATCCACTTTCTGGTGTGTGAGTCGCCTTCCTAGATATATTGGTCGCTAGCGCTGCAATTGATGGTAAGGTCGGTGAAGATTGAGGTCTAGTTTTGATTATAAACCCTATGGACGTTCTACATCGAAATCCATCACGATCCCTCCGTATTAAAAGTGAACCTCAGATGTCTATAGAAGATTCATGGGGAGAGACCGCAAAATGGCTTCAAAGCCTAATTCGGTATCATCTGAAGATAAACCCTAGCCTTCACTCAGTGAAGTTCAAACTGCTAGATGATAGAGTACTGTTTTGCTCAAACACTTGAGCATATCAGCTGCCTTCAATCCGGTTTAGCCCAGCTATCGAACGGTTTGTCAGGTGTGGCAGCTTTTCACTGGNGTAGTACCTCTAAGTCACAGCTGACAGCCGAATGTCAGATAAATATCAAAGATGAGGTATGTGTCCTAGAGGAACACGATGAGTTACTCCTTGTCATTCAATATACTACATCGGTGCCACTGACGGAATAGACAATATTTGCTGTCGATAGACTTACTGGCCAAATCAGACGCATGTGCTATGGCAGAGTTTGTGAGAGAAAAGAAAGTACAAAATCGCTAGTTGGTAGTAAAGCTGGACATAGGACAAAACTCAGAAGACCATAAAACAGAATTATGGTTCATCAAACCATAATAAAATATCGAAAAGTTAGTTAGCTTGGTAGTGACAGCCTTCGAACTGAAGACTGATGAGTGAGAGACATCTACCCCTAATACGAACGCATGGCAATGAAACTCAATCAAATAGATCTGCTAATTTATACTTATTTCGATAAAAGACGAGGAGTGGTGATGATGCAGTAGTTTAGTCGCTGTCACAGGCGTGCTTTGAACCCTATAAACCGGGGTGGGTAAATATGCTGTCGTACAGTTCAATACTTAACTAACTTAACAGGGCCTTATGTGATTCGCCACTTGACGTCACAGGGCTTGGGATACCGGTTCCCATCACTTATCAGCAGGTTTTCGCGACTTCCGCTTCTACAAATACTAGTGTTCATCACACAACTGTATGTAATGGTCCACACCTGCCTGCCATTAGGTTCACCGGACATCAGTCTAGTGGGTGAGTAAATTTAACCAGATATAACTTACAAGGATTGTACGAATAAATTAATTATCTTACCTATGCACGCAATAAAGCTGAAATCCACACAGCTTTCACGAACTTTTTCCTCTAGCTTGTTCACATGGAATTTCACACTGCTGTCCGTTTATGACTGTTTGGGTTCATAAGCTATTATATCCTCTTTAATGGGGCGTATACCACTCGCATGATAATATCCATGCAAACTTTGGTTGGACACGAAATATAGCAAGATTTGTTGCATATCTCTCTCCGTCGTTTTTATTTTTCCTGACGCAGACAAAGAACTTCGTTTCCTATTCCGAATTAAATCAGGCAGATGGTAAATGTTCTTCAGTGTTGTATGGTTTATGGGTTCTTTTGTGGATACCAGCTCAATGTTGGAAACAAGTTATGGCAAAAGGGAGAGCCTACATAGAAAGACTAAAGAACCAGAGGCTCCGTCATGTAATATTTTTCACATTTTATGCTGTGCTGGTTCAATGAACTCTCCGTTTCACATATTTAGACCGCTAATCCGGAGAAGGTCGCAGTAGCCTTACGACAGTTGAGTTCCAAATCACAAGGCAAAGACGAGCTGAACGGGTTCCGAAAACAAAACGGCACGGTTACCCTATCCACCGTTCCGGAAGAATACGGGAATGTTCTTCGGGAGATGGGCGATGAAAACATGGCTGACCCATCACAATCCTCATCGCGACGCACGGATTCATCCACTGCACGTAACACAGATCGTTTGTCGAAGTCTGGCTCCCAATCCGATCGTAGCGAGCTGATGGCTCGTTCCACACGGGTAGCAGCGGGCTACCGTCCGATTCCGAAAAATCTGAACTCAATCACAGACGCTTTGATTGCGGCATCTGATGACCCATCCACAATGGTTGCGGCCCTGGAAATGCAGTTGACTCGAGCTGCTCTTATTGGGTCAAAGGAAGAAACATCTCGGAAAGCACAAGAAGTAGACCCATCGCAATCTCCTCCAACACTATCAATTCGGTCTTCCCGCGGGTCGGTACACTCCGATAAACAGAACGTAAGTTAAACTAGATCAAAATAATGGTAAGGCCACAGAATCCGTTTTCTGAGATGAAAAGTACTTGTTTTTTTATGAGCGATCGTTTCTCTTGGAACATCAATTTGCCCATAAGTGGCTAAGGTTCATGTGAAGTTGATATTTGATAGGATAATTTGGGAGTTTCCTACGACTTGTTCTGACGAGTGCTTTGCGCTCTGATGCTGTCTGAAACTGGCTTTCATTTGAATATGCATCTACCTTTATGTGATGTTGCATTATTGCTACTGGATACTGCGTCCGTAATCGAACTTATCAACTTATCAAGGGTTACATAATTGCTCAATTCGTGATCGGTCGTGTTCGTTTGCTTACAGAGCTCGATTGCTTTCGAAATTCTATTGGATCCCGCCTCAACCAAGCCCCGCCGCTTACCTGCACCTCGTGCGAACTCGTCGGCTATTGTGCGCCGGCTTCCCGGATCAAAGAATTCCGTTTCTCGACCCATCACCCACCCACACAACGGTGCGCAACAGTTTCCCTCGGCTAAGTTGCCACTGGCTTCAACGCTACCAACACCATTGCAGCGAAATCCTAAGGTAAATAAAATCATGTCCTTTTATTTAAAATGGCATGCAATGATATTAATTCTCCTCACGTTCAGTTTGGAGTGTTGCTGATCGTAGCATAGACTGATTGGCAGCGATCAGTGAAGTTCGCTTCACTGTATCTCGCTGTACGATGATGATGATGTAGCATAGATCTATGTTGTAAAGCTAACTTGCTCACCACATGACTGATGTGCTCATAATTTTATGGTTTTATTTACTGTCATCTTGCTTGGAAGAGAGAAAACGGAATTACCAACGAACATTGCACTTTTATTGTACACAATAAAATAGTCTTTTAAGAATTGACAGGAGCCCCGATTCTTCCTGTTTCGCTGTCGTGCTGTCCAATACCTATCCAACGGATAATAAGATCATTCAAACAGCAATCTAGCAAGCGATGAATACGTTCCGTGTATAACCTCTTCTTGCAGTTCTCCGTTTCTTGGCTCTACGTCGTCTATCGACTTTAGTGCTTTTATCCATGGGAACTGTAAGTGCAAGCGCCGCTGTTCAATGGAGGATCACTCGACATGCCCGCACTAACCAGGCCTGCTCGTATAAATTCTTTCTTCAGGACACATCATGCAGCGTTACCTGAACTGTTACTGCTAACCTTGCCAAAGTATTTAACTATTGACTATTAAAACAGACCAGAAGATGTCTTAGACGTCTATATAAAAGGTTTCAATTACTTTCTCTACTTCAGTCTTCCCCGAACTCTGCCTTTCCGTTCACTTACAATCCTCTCTCTTTAAATGCAGAATCATCAGACTAGATCTCACGTGAATGTTCTTTAACTTGCCTTCTTACAGTGCCTTTTAGCCTAAGGGATTCCCCCTTTTTATCGCAATGAACAGATTTTTCTGATGAGAAAGAGATGTCAAATGGCTATCTGCATATTCAACGAAGTGAAAACTTTCGACTCATTAAATCAAAAGGGAATAGGTACTGCTCTATCAAAGAATCCAAAATGGCAATATGCTTGTCAAAATTGGATCAGGATATATACACTTGTTTCATCCGTATTTGGAAGTTTTCTTCTTTTCCCCTGTTTTCTTTGCTAGCGCTTTGATAACTGCGCCCCATCGTTACATTAAAAACTGTTTGCATATTTATATGTGGGTTAGGA